AAAGCGTAAAACGTTTTCAAATCGAAACAAACATTTCGTGTTCGAGTGTTTAAAAACTGAACTTTTACACGTGTCCAGCATTTCAGTTGCCATTTTCCTCAAACTCATTCACTGTGTGTGTGTCTGAGAGTGTGTGTGTGTGTGTGTAAGTCAATCGTTTGTTGTTCAATTGTAGCCATGGCTTGGCTTGCTCTACAGCAGGCGCTGTAACTATATATAGCCAATAAGAATACCTTCTTCGAAAACTATCAAAATACTTGTGCAACTCTATGCCCTGTTTTTGATTAAAGGATGGGTATATGCCTTCCATGAACTATTTTGGCTAAATTCATAATTGTAATTAAGAAAATCTGCTGTTTTACTTGAGTATATAATTTCGTTATTAAGGACATCGATTTGTGGTATATATTATCTTACAGATATATATATTTGCCAGATATATGTATTTGTATATCAATTACTTATTTTTTTGTCATTTCCAAATCTGTGCATTTTCAGATTTGATAAACTGTTTTTATTTTCTTTGAAATTCTTAATTTTCTGTGGAATTTCATTTAAGTTTTCAATCTCTTTTTTGAGATTTCTCTTACTCGACAGCCAATAGCAAATGAACTTATTTATAGGGTTTCCATCAGCTAATTTTACTATCAAATTTTCATTTTCTATACTTGGCTTATTTACAGGGTATCTATTACAATTTTTTTTGTCAGTTTAGGATATTTGCAGTGTTTCAATAACAATTTAACTCAAAACAATCAAAATTATTTACAGGGTATCTATTTATAATTCCATTTTCTATGCACCCCCTTTTATATTTTACTAATTACCTATTTTTACTGTAAACTTTGCACTTTTTTCCAGCGTATATATAATTAAATTATATTATTATATTATTATATTATTCAATTTCTTGAGTTTACTACCACTTCCCTAAGTTACAGGGTATCTATGTCTAACTACAATATTCGCTCACATTTCATAATATTTACCCTACACACCACTCTTTATCGCAGGGTATTTTCACTTGCAAAACAGATTCCTCCCTCTGAATTCTTGTTGGTTTTTTGTATTATTTTTTAAAAACTTTCACATTGTCGTGCTGGGGGCAAAGTTTGCATCAAGCGTGCGCTCCCCTTTCTCTGGGCGAGAGGGCAACAATAGACGCATGGAGTACCTCAATAATGAGTATTCGGCAAATATTTTATTTATTTACTTTAATTGCACTTAATTGTATTCATTCATAGTTCGTAAGTGGGCAAAGAGCCAAGGAATTTTCCAGTGGGGGCTGACAGGTCTGCCTTGTTAAGCAAGTCAAATTGTTTGCGCTTGCAGATAGTTTACCTATCATAAAAAATGCAAATGAAGTCTCTAATTAAAAATTGATACGCAACTAGTTGGAGCGGATTCGACTAATGTGAATAAAACTGGCGGGCGTTAACCAGAAGCTTGTTAATTGAGCAATAATCAGTCAGAGCGCCAGCCACAGGCGCAGTTGATAAATGCTAGCTAGTCTATAATGGCGCAGCCACTAACGAGCTCAATTTTACTACGCTCAGCTGTCAAAATATCAAACAGCTAATTAAGTCGACTCACTGACAACTTGCGCTCACTCTCACAGCAGCTGGCCGCAAAAAACAGATAGAGCTCTGTGTGTGGCTATGAGGCTGATATGGATATGCTTATATGGATGGAGATGTAGCAGGAGATGCAGATGGAGTAGGAGATGAATGTGGATGGGTGACAGCGGGGCCAGTGGTAGCCCGCAATGGGAGTTCATTAGGCGCAGCTGCGTCAGTTGAAAAATATACTTTTCTGGCTAAGGCTTTTTGTGTGTTTCAGTCGACGCTCGGCAATGCTGCGTATGCGTAATTTATGCTGAGCATCTATGTAAGTGTGTGTGTGTGTGTGTGTCTGCTGGCTGCTGGCTGCCGTAAGCAAACATTCCACATGGGATGGATGCTATTGCTGCCCGTGCCCAGACAACGCCAAGGTGTTTGTACAACTGCTAAACGAAATACTAATGCGGTAAACTGTATGCAAAAACCGTTTTAATTAGCACGAAAATCATTGTAACTCGTTGCCAAGGCACCGCGCGCCCCGCCACCCCGCACATGCCCCCTCTTGGCTAAATGGAATCCATGCCAGCTAACTTTTGCCGAGCAGCAGAGACGAAGCTGGGCCAGGTTGGGATAGGCTAGGCCAATGGGGACAGAGCAGCAGCTTCAGCTCCTTTCTCTCTCTCACTCTCTCTCTCTCACTCACTCTCTCTTGCTCTGTCTGTCTGTGTTCGTGCGCTGATGAAGAGATAATATTGTGATCACGTTCGGCAACCTGCTGAAATGCAAATAGAACATGCCCCAAGTTGAGTTGCAGTGACACACACACACACACACACGCACGCACACCGAGACGCACACGTACACTCGGACAAATTTGTAATGTGAGTTGCGCTAATGAAACGTTCATTAATCATATGCCACTTGACAGCAGCAATTACAACAACAACAACAGCAGCAGCAGCAGCGCTGGTCGCTATAAGCGCAACAAATTGCTCATACGCCACGTTGTACGTCTTCAAGTCAAGGTGTTTGACTGTCGACTAGCGGACATTTCTTTGGGAAAAGATCTCGTGTGTTATACTAACCTTCTCTCCCTCTCTCCTACTCTCTCTCTCTCTCTCTCTCTTTATCCCTCTGCTTCGCTCTGACAAACTGCTGACAAAGCCAAGTGCCAACACTGCAGAGGCCAGGGACACGAACGAGTTGCAGCTATGTTATATGTATGTACATGTACATGTGCATGTGTGTGTGTGTGTGTGTGTGTTTGTTAGTTAATTAATATTCCCGGTTGCCGCACGTTTCATGTTTGCATTAATTTGGCAGGTAACTTGTCAACGTTCTTGTTGTTGCTGTTGTTGCCCTCTTGTTGTTCTGATGAGGATGTTGCCGCTGCCAGGCTATATCTAACGAGCCACTCGCACACACATACACACACACACACACACACACACGTACTGAGGGTGAGCCTTTAGCCAACATGTTGTTAGCTGTATGTTCGCCGCTTGTAATTAGCCAAGATCGAAGTGATTTAATTACTTGAGCAAACTTTTAACATTGTCTACTTGGCATACTAAAACTTTGCTGCATAATCAATGGCCCCAAGTGCGAGCGAGCGTCATCCGGATATGGCTCGACTCCCGGCCATATCTATGCCCGCCGCTACACTCATAGCATTTGCTGTTGGCCTCGATGTTTGTCTAGCTAACAAGCGTATTCCACACACACACACACACACACACACACACATACGCCGGGCTTGGCTTTGTACTGCGCATTAAATGCTGGGCAAGCCGCATTGTTATCATTGGTGCGAAATGAATGTAATTAGACTTTTGCCAATTGCCGCTGCTCTTCTAATAAGCTTCTAATTAGCGGTGTCTAAAGACGGGCCGCAGCCGTCGCCTGCCGAAGGGCAAAGGTGTCGATGATATCATCATATGGTGTTGGCACCATCACCCGTTCCTAAAAAATAGAAGCTTGAATTTATTTTGTAGCTGTAGCCGACTACGAGATACCCTGTATGTGTGCACTCCTCCAACTGTTCTCTTTATAAATTGAAATCACATAGGCAAAGCTTGTCTCTAAAGTCCCATCATACTCAACTCAAAACGGTTTCATGGGTACACAAAACATCAGCTAATCAGGCTTATTTGTTTCCACGTGTGTGGTATTGGTGCTGTGTGTGTTTGCGTGTGTGTGTGTCTGTGTGTGTGTGTGGGCCGTTTGACTTTTTGGCAAACATGAATTTTACGCAAGGCAACGATTGCGCATACGCCACAAATATTTAACTCCATGTACATGCTTCTATTCATACCCAACCTTCTCTCTCTTTTACTTTCTCTCACTCGCCCACTCTCTTCCGCTATCCCTCTTGTGCTTTGTGGCTGCACATGTACAAGTAATCTAATTAGTTTTATGCTAATTAGCACGCGGTTTTAATTTAATAAATTATTATAGCACATTATATTGGACAAAAGTACGTGAAACTAGGGAATCAACTGCGCAACTGGGATGCAAACACGCACTCTTAGCCAATTCGAGCAGCTATTGTATTAGTTTTAAGTCGAAAAACAAGGGGATTAAAGTCGGCTCAGATATGTCAAGCCTATGCCAATTGTCTAGAGAATATAGCGTGTATGATAGATAATGAGCTAGCGTGGAGACAATATAAGAAAAGTCTTGTGAGCGTGGAGGTTATAGTAGAGTACATAGATACAGTATACATACATATGTATATACATACATTCATATATGTGTATATATATATATGTATATTTATAGAAAGTTTGTTTATAGTTTAAAAATTTTGTTACATTTTTGATCATCATCAGCAACAAGTCTAGCAGCTTATAGAATTGTTAAATAAAATATTAATAAATACATATATATTATCCGAATGAGTTTGCGTTAAACTTGCGCGCTTCCCATTTGTTGTTTCTAATCGGACTCCGAGCGAAAGAGCGAGTCAAAGATAGCACCAGCTGAACATATCCTCTCGTGAAGCTTAGTTGGAGTGAGACGGAGATACGCACAGCTGTTATTGAACGAGCACTGTTAACAGGCAGAGCACTACTCATTACTGTGTGGGAGCGAGAAGGCAATTAAAATAGTTGCGGCTCAATGTAGAGTTTCGGCTGTTGCTCAGTGAGAGCGAGAGGGCCATGTAAGCGCTTCGCACAGGCTCGTTTTGATTGTCAATGGGCGCTCTCTTCGCTCTCTTCAAAAGCAAATGGCGGAAGACAAGCAAATACTTGTTGTTGAAAGGAAATATGCATATATATGAGTTAGGTATACAGGATAAATATAATATATTAACAGACATTTCCCGCTTTATTCAAATTCAGCTAAAAATACACAAAAAGAGATTTTAATTGAAAATTTTTACTGATTTTTTAATTTTGCTAGTAAAATAAAGAGGACGTTAGTTATGAATTAAAACAATAGCATTAGACTAGCGTAGAGCTTTTTTACTAATCAACAGAAATTTTTTTTGAAATATTTTTGAATTTTTTGTTCAGTATGGAATATAGTTAGCGTTAAATAGCCGTCGATTGGAATCGTATGAGCTTAGATCGCACTTCCATATGTATATCAATACTATAAAAATGAAAAAGGTATTAAAGTTTATAGGCACGTCGCAACACCAAATCGAAGTAAGCATCATTGTCGATCGAGGCGCTGATCGAGGCATAATAGTTGATGAACTCTGCCTTGGTAACGATGCCATCCGGATTGGGTGCACCAGCCTCGAAGTTCTTTAGGAACGCAGTCATGATTTCATCCTCACTCAGCTCGCCGCTCAAGTACTTGGGATGATCCTGCACAGAGTAGGCGTGCTTCAGGTCCTCAATTGTGATTTGGCCATCGGAATTGGTGTCCAGCTTGTCGAAGCATTTGTCGATGATATTAAGGCGACATGTGCCCATGGGGGGCTATGAGAAAGGAAGGCGCTAGAGACATGTATACTGTTGAGAAATATGAGGGACTTACGCGCAGTTTCATGAGAAATTCGGTCATGTTAATGGAGCCATTTTCATCGGTGTCAAAGCTGCGAAAGGACTAACTGTGAGCAGATAGAAGAGCATTTGAAAATTGGGTTAGCTTGCCTTTTGAACAATTCCTCAATGTCAGATTCATTGAATTCGAAGCCCATATCGTTGACGCCCTTCTTGAATTCCTCCAGACTGAGGGTCTTGCTGCCATCGTCATCCATTACACGGAAAGCTCTGAAATGGAGTAAACCATGAGGGAATATACGATTCATGACATGCCTATATATAAAAGGTTTCCCCGTCTAACCAGCAAAGCTATGACGTTTTTCATCAGTTATTAAACCGATTCTGACCCTAAACAAAAAAGTTATTTTAAATAAATTTTAGCCGTGAAATGAATGCAATGACAAACGGAACGAGGGGGCAAGAATGCTGAATAGAATGTGTGGAATTTTTTAGAAAATGCATTGAATGCATTGAATTTTCCGGCTGACAAACAAGCTGCATAAATACAAATAAAAAAAAATCACACATGCATTCACACACACACACACATGCACACTCATGCTGGTCAATAGGCAGACATACAATGATTCAGCTAATACACACACACACACACACTCACACAGACACAGCGAGGCTCACTCACACATGTGTGTATATTGAAGTTGCGATTTTGTTAAAAATGTCTATATGTTCAATACGGAAAATTGTTAACGGACCTGCTGCCAGTCGGAAATTGAAATAAAAACTGAGAGCCGAGAAGCAAACTCTTCTGTTTGCCCGGCCAGGTTATGGGCGTGAGTGCGTTTGGGTGGCCCATGGGTGGGGGATGGGTGGGTGTGGGGGTGTGCGCAAGAGTGTTGAATGGTACTGAAAGCAGAGAAATCCAATTATGTTTGTTTGCATTCAGTCAGCGATTTTTGCTATCGCACAGCCCCCAACATCAGCGACGGCAGCATCAGATGCTGCAGCAGAGGCAGAGGCTGCGGCTGCGGCTGCGGCTGCTTCATCCATAGTTTTTGCCGCTTGGCACACACTTGGAGAAGCTTTCGAAATGTTAGTTCAACATGCACTCGACATATTTGCTAGTGCCTAACTCGGCTCGCTCCCCCACTAACCTCGAGCACGGCCCAACACATCACCAGCTCAATGCTCATCATCATCATCAGCAGCAACAGCAGCAGCTTCATCATCTTTGGCATGCATGGGGTATAAAAAACATGCTTCAGTTTTGGGCAGCTGCCGATTCTACATGTTTCACATGCTGAGCACTCAACAATTTCATCATCATCCGCCAGCTACCCTGCATTTGTTAATAGATATGCCGAAGCGAAAAACTAAAGTAAAGAAAGTTATCTTGGGCCACCTGACCCAAACTCTGACCCTTTGCTCCATGCTCCATGCTCTTTGCTCTGCTGGCTATGCACACAAGCAAAAATCTTTGGGTGCTTCACTCACCTGGCAAGTCCCAAGATGCCTGTGGCGCCGCGGCTGAAGCACTGCAGACGCAGTTTGTCTAGCGAAGCCTTCTCGAGTCCGTTGGCCAGCTCGCGCTTGGCCTGGTTCTTCAGAGCCGCCTCCTTGGAGAACATGTCCTCGCGTTGCATCTGCCGAGAGCAAAAATATCATGTAAACTCGTTCGCTACTCAATTCTTATGTGGTTTTACCTTCACCATGATTGCTTTTAGATCAATTGGCTGATATTCGAATTTATATAAAAAAATAGCAAAATTCGATATATTGTTAAATTTAGAAAGATTAAACTATTTGGATTCTAATGAAATGAAATACTAAACGAAATATTTTCAGTAGCTCTACGCCTGAGTTGAAACTCCAGGCCGACTTTATGCTATCCCTGGTGCGTTTAGAAATTCGAGTTGAAATCGCATGGCTTGAAAGCGGGGCCTAGACAGCATTTCAATAATAATATTTATATATTTATTTTATTCGGGGCGTCGGCAAACAGGAATCGTTTTTCATTTGCTCTCAACATAATTAAAATGTTTTCATTTGTTGTTGTTTTTATTGCATTCATATTTTTGTGTAAATGAAGTCGATATTTGGCCCGCGGACATCCGAGCTTCACTTAATACTTTGGGTAATTTACCTCGCATAATTATTTCTATTATGACAACCGTAGCCGGCAGCTATTATGGTTAAGAATTTGGCTTAATTAGGGCAAGAGTTGTGTGGTGGGGGCGGGGAAGGGCTCTAAACAACAGCAAAGATGCCCAAACATGAATCTCTCTCCCAGTGTGTGTGTGTTTTAATGTCGATTCACTTAACGCTTCATTGCGCCCAGTTGACTTATTCAGTTCGGACTTAAAAGGCATTGTAGGGTATGCCATTATCTTAATTGTGAATATAATAAAGCACACTGGCAGCTGCTTAAGGTCATCAGAGCTGCGCTTTAATGTCAAAATGATTCATTGTTCTACTCAACCAAATAGCTCTATGACAGCTTGACTGATTGATTCTGCGATAACTGATAAACTGCTTAAATAGCTGACTCCGTGAGAGATTCACCCATTGACTGAACTGCGCATAGTTTACACAGCCCGAGTTGATATAAATGTATCATAGACTCGGCACGCGCAACGCTCTTCTTTCAGCTTTATACAATTTGCTATAGACACACACACACACACACACACACACCTATCAATAGGATTGCCACTTTGCGCATTGAACCGGAACTGCTTGAACCTTAACGGGTTGATTAGTGTTGCAGTCACTGCTCACGTGTGTATGTGAGTGTGCGTGTGTGTGTGCCCGTTCACCTCAATATTTCATGCATGACATCACAATGACAATTGCGACACATCGACACGCGCTCGTGCCACAACGAGAGCCATTGCTGCACCCACTGCAACAATTAGCTGGAAACTCTTGAATAAATTGTTGAAGAAAAATATATGGAAAAATATTTTCATAATTACTTTGTAACACAAATAAATCAAGAAAATTAAATGGGAATTTTCTAAAATATTTCAACTGAATTTAACAGAAGGTGCGGGTGGGAGTGGCTGTAATTTCTGTGACAGAACTGAGCTTTGCTTACCTTTTGCTATTGATTGGGCTGCCATCAAATAACAAATGTAGACACGCAACTCTGACTGCTTACAGGAATTACCCTTGCAAGGTAAACTCCGAATGAAAAGGTGGAGAGTGGGAAGAGAAAATGGCAAGGTTAATACACCTTTACTCTTTCAACTCTTAGACAGAGAGAAACGCGAATATATTTACTTTTGATCAGCTCCCATGATTGAGCCTAGTCTAGTCAGTATTACTGTTTCTGTTTTATCCGTTCCTTGAATTCAAATTTATAAGAATCCATTTGAATATCTACCAGACCGTGCACTTTCATCACCCAACTCACATACACTTACATAATTTATACTTTTTTCTAAATATGCAGCCTAACCCACTTAATTCACTCTTACACCTTTATATTTACATTTTTCCCAGTACTTATCTACCCAAAGAAGTTTTGTGATTTTGCTGCATTAATATATTATCACACTTTTATTTTAAAGAATTTTTCGTCACTATCTTTCAATATATTTCATATGAATAAATCAAGAATTCATTTTCTTTGTATCAAATTTTTCATATCTGAACTACTTCATATAAATTTTGTGATTTAGTAAATTATAAATTTTCTATTTTTTTTATATGAATAGTGTGAACTGCTATATACGTAATAATGTATGAAACTTTGCCTAGTTTTCAACCACAAAACTGTTGGAGATAGATGAATCAATGGTCAAGGTATTTCCTAGTCGTTCACTGCTTCTATATCCATTTTATGACTACATTGTCTCCTACATTAAATCTGCTATGCTAGTTTTCTCTCACAGAACTGTTAAGAATGGATGTAAAGTTTACATTGTAAACCAACAAAAAACTGATCAGGGTATTTCCTAGTCGTTCACTGCCAAATCAAGCCGCATTTCTGGCACTTATAGTATTCTCCATCTCTCCTACTACAAGTATGTATATGCCCGTAACATGTTCATACTTTATAGCTCTTGTCAGCTTAACATGCATGTTAAATGTGTTATCTAACTTCATTATTAGTTTACCCAAACTAGACCTCAAGCAATGCCAAATGCAGAGGCACAATATTAAATCAATAAGCTAATAAATATTAACAATAATAGAATAAGGTACCATGATTAAGACTCTTTCCTTACAATGAACTTAACAGGCATGTTAAATATGTAAATATGCATGTAAGCATTTCTCAGACGATTGCAAACCTATCAATGTAAAATTGATGTACGCAAGGCAAAAGGTAAACGAATTATTGATGTCAGTTATGAAATCGATAAGCTAATGAGCTCATTCATTGGCCGTGTCCTGCTCCAGGCAAAGTGTCCTCCGCAACGGGTTCGATGGCCCAGTTAGATAGCCGAGCGCTGTCACGACTGCAGCTGCTGCGATAAGCAGAGCACAATGACACTAATTAAAGCACCCAGGTGGCACTTTAGTTCACGCTGATGCGTCATGCCAGAAGCTGGTCACGCCTGGCAGTGTCCGTGGCAGGGGCAGTGGCAGTGCCTGCAAAACTGTAAAGCTTTTGCTGCTCGGCGACAGCAAATGTGGCTGGCAACAAAGTGCAGCTGCAGCAGCTGAGTCAGAGAGTCTGCGAGGCTGTGCAGCTTCAGCCTGAAAGTCAAGGTTATTCGCATATATCGATTTTGGCAAATCTAAAGATAAATACATATACGTATGTGCATATATATTCTCATGTACATATAAATGTATATTTGTATTGGGCTCATGCAAAAAGTCTGAAGCCAGCAAACGCAGAGCCGAGAGCATGAAAAATAAATTATTGCTTTATTGAGGGTAAACAAAAAGACAATTTAACACGTCAGCAGGACGCTGAGTGTGATGGGAGTGTGTGGGGGGGCGGACATGATGAGAGAATGCGAGAAAGTGAATGAGAAAGAGAGAGAGAGAGAGAGGGAGGTGACATTGTGAGACGAGCAGCGGATATAATGGTGACATGGACATGGACATGGCGACAAAGGATACTGCGCGACGAAATAAAGCAAATAGGTCACGTTCAAAGACAACATCGATTAACCATAAATTGCGAGTTAAGCAAAAAGCAACGAGCACCAGGACGCCCAGGACACCAGAACAAGTAGAAGATGACGAGGAGCAAGAAGAAGCAGCAGCAGCAGCAGCAGCAGCAGCAGAGGAGGCGCGAGGCAAGCGTCGCATCGCCTGGCCGAGTTTAAGCATGATTTGTGCGTGTCTTTATGACATGAAACACATTCCCCATACGGGCGAATAACTTTATGTGTGGAACACACACACATACACACGCACACGCAGCGCAGTTACAGTTATAGATGGAAACGGAGATGGCGATGCTGATGGAGTTGGGGATGGAGACGAAAGATGGAACTGAAGATACAGTTACACAGATAAAGAGATAGATAAACAGACACACACACACACACACACACACACACACACAGCATGCGACAACGTTTGCTGCAGCTCACACAGGGCGCCGCCTGTCAGCAGCACCAACAGCAACAACAACAACAGCAGCAGCAGCTGTCATATGGCATAGAAACGCCAACACAACAGCAGCAGCAGCAGGAGAACGAGAAGGAGCAGCAGCGGGAGAGGAGTGGGCAACAGCACAAGGGCTGACAATTTGTATCCGCGTGTGTGTCAGAAAACTTTCACAATAATTAACAGACATGTCGATTACTTCTACTTCTTGGCACACATTTTACCTTTGAGTCGAGCGGAGGGAGGCGTGTGTCGGTGTGTTTGGCAGCTGGTTACTTTTCTATTTCTTTCACTTTTTCCTTCTTTTATTGTTTTTTGCTGGCTGTTGGTATTTTGTTATTTTATTGTTGCCAAAAATGTTTCAACTTTTGCCGCTGACAATTCAACTTTGCACGCACCTCGCACGTGTCGCGTGTGCCGAACGCTGCCAGCAACTGAGCCAGCCACATCAAGCGACAGCCGCGCAGCCAGTCAGCCGTTGCAGCGACAACTACACTCAATAATGCTATCTACTTGGTGTTGTTGTTGCTCGTGTTGTTGTTGTTGGCGTTGTTGTCGCCACAGTCAGCACCATAAGCGGCGTCCTTATGAAACTAAGGCCAGCCAAAGCTACAATAACAGCAACAACAACAGCTGGCAAACTATAAAGAGAGCTTTATGGTGATGCTGATGGACTAGAAGATACTCTGCAATTGAAATTTAGAGTGAGAGGATATGAGTTGCCTTAGATGTGTATGCAAATGCACACATATATATAAGCACATAAATACATATATAATTATCATATAGTAAACTCATGTACATGCTAACAAATTAAAACTAATATCAGAAGGATAAACGTTAGTGATAAGGCTAAATTTGTAAATATACACAAATATAAATTAATATATTATAATATTTCCTCATTCTCTCTCTCTCTCTCTCTCTCTCTCTCTCTCTCTCTCTCTAACTGTCTTAAAATCCCTCTCTGCTTGACATTTAAAATTCAAGTTAGCTATGAGATTTCCGTCTGATCTATAAAATAATATTTGACAAAATTACTTAAAATAATATTTATTACTAAAATTTCCTTTTTTTTAATTTTTACAAAGCATAAAATAAATAAATATGTAGATAAATTCAATTTAAAAAAAAAAATGTAAAAAAAAAAATTTTATGAATTTTTAAAATAATTTATTTTCAAACGAAAAATAATGTGAATGTCAATGACATGGATGCAATATATAATTTTATAAAATAAATAAAAAATGACTGCTTTTTATTTTTGTGAATGGCAATAAAAAGTAACTTTCATAATATAAAGAAAATTCACATGACATGCAAATGATGTTAATTTGATTAATTGATAAATCAAAAAATTATACTGATGTTAATTATCAATTAAAAAATTAAAAAATTCAAAATCAATCAATAAGTAGTAAAAAGTAATATTTATAATTTATATATATAATAGCTATATTTCAATCAAGTTTATTTAAAATATATAAATAAAAATATATACAAATAAAATAAAGATTATATACAAATTATCATTCTCATTTCAAATTAGCAATTAAGAATAATTATAAACAAGTAAGAAAGCTCTAGTCGAGACTGCTCGACTACGAGATCCCCTG